AACGGTGCACTACTGCAAAGAGGGTTGTTTCTAGGGCACAGCCTCAGGATTACAAAGCAGGGCAAAAAGGGTGGACTTGGAGCTGTGAGAAAAAAACCAACAGATAATTGGTATATTCTAATTTGTTCCTACTCTTCAGGAATTTATTATTTTTGGCCCTCTGCATTTCTATGCACACAAGCTAGGAGGGCTCAAAGGTAAAGAAGCATTGAAGTTCGACCTGGACTGCATTTAATTTATGGATTTTGGAGGGTGGAACTGACGGTTTTAATTATGAGTATCTTCATCTCTCCACTCACTTTAAATCTTTTAAAACTTTTTGGTAACATATAAGCTTTTCTCCTTGAAGCTCTTACAGCTTTTGTTAGCTTTTTCTTCCTTTCTTCCTTTTGAAAATAGTATTTACTTTTTTTTATGGTACAAAAACAAAGGCTTGCTTCTGAGACAAACTGGTCTTGTAGCTAAGGATGGACCTCTTCTTCCATTTGCTTCTGTCTCTCTAGAGTAAGGACTGCAGGCCTGCACCACCACACCCAGGTTTCGCAGTGCAGGGCTACTATGCTGGGCTTTGTGCATAGTAGGCAATCACACTACCAACTGAGCTGCACTCACCCCTCCCAAATATATTTTTTGGTATCAATACATTTTTGGCATCCACAATATGCCCAAATATCTACATGCCAAAGACAGATAAATGATCTTTTTAGAGCTATTGAATCCAGGCTTTGGCTTTATGGCTTACAGTGCAGGTAAGTTTTCTCACTCACCCTGAAAAATGTGAGATAATTATTTTACACTTTGTAGACTCTAGAGTCTCTGTCAATCAGCCTGCTACTGTGGTGTGAAAACAGAGAAGCTAACAAATAGTAATGGCTGTGTTCCAACAAAACTTGACTTACAGTGGGCTAGTGCATATTGGCCAGTGCCCTGGCCTCTGACTTTGCACGCTGTCAATGTCCACAGAACTTTCATGTATACTTGAAAATGACTCAGAGCTTCCACTGCGTTCATTACTTTATATTTAGTAACTTAGAACAGCACATCAAATAATGTTGTTCAGATCCTCTGTATTGTCCATGTGTGCTTTATAATCAACCGTGTTGACATTTAAAATCATCTCACTGTGGTCATAAATTTGTCCAGTTTTGCTTTAGCTATGTTATTAGGTGCATGTAAGTTTAACATTCTATTCTTCCTCATTAATCTAAACTTGTATCATCATGAGGTAATCCACACTGCTTCTAGTCATAGTTTTTATCTTGAGCTACAGTAGTTGGAGATTAATAAGGCTGTATTAGCTTTCTCTGGGGGCTTTCATTGCTGGTACCCACTTTTCATTTTAAGAACTTTTTAAAAATTACATTGTTTCTTGAGAGAGAGATATAAAGAGAAAGAGCGAGAGAGGGAGAGCACTTGTCTGTGGACAGAGGACAACTTGTGAGAGTTGGTTCTCTCCTATCATGTGGGTCCTGGAGATCGTAAGTTGTCAGGCACCTTTATCTTGCTGAGCCATCTCGCCAGCCCTATTTTTTCATTCTTTATCTTCAATCTTTCTGTGCTTTAATATTATTTGGTTCTTTTTAAAAATAACAAACCTTAGCCAAGTGTGGTGGCACACGCCTTTAGTCCCAGCACCCGTGAGGCAAAGGTAGGTGGATCTCTGTGAGTTCCACGCCAGCCTGGTATACAAAGCGAGTTCCAGGCCTGCTAGGGCTACAGGGAGACCCTGTCTCAAAAAGACCAACCCCCTCTACACCCAAAAAAACTCTCACAAATCTTCGGGGCTGGAGAGATGGCTCAGCGGTTAAGAACACTGGTTGTTCTTGCATCAGACCCAGGTTCAAATCCCAGCACCCACGTGGCAGCTAATAATTGCCCACTGTCCATAACTCCAGTCCCAGAGGATCCGACAGCCTCTTCTGACCTCTGCAAGCATTGCACAACATGGGTGCACTTACCTACCTGCACTGCATGATATGGGTGCACTTACCTACATGCAGGCAATACACACATACACATAAAATAACAAATCTTTTAACATTTTTGGATTTAAGTGTAAGAGTGTTTTGCCAGCATGTTGTGTGGAGTCCATAAAAGGGCATCAGAGCCCCTAAAACTGGCATTATGGATGGTCATTAGCTACCATGTAGGTGCTAGGAATGAGCCTGGGTCCTCTGCAAAAACAGCCAGTATGGGCCATCTCACCAGAGCCCATTTTACTTTTTTTTTTTTAAAATCAATAATACAGAGCACAAATTTTAAGTCTCAGCTTCTTGGAAGTTAAAAGCAAACAAGAGAACATTTGCTGAAAAGATGGAGTTAGGCTTCCAGTGCCCTACTTGCTAGTTACAACTGAGATACATTTGATGCACAGGACTTTGAACAGAACAAGGGTGTCTTTGGAAACAGTTTTACAACTTCACACTATGAAGTTTTGTTGGATTTCCCTGTTACTCAGTGATTACTTAACTGGCTTTCAGAAAGCTGTGCTCTTTAGGACCCTGAAGCAGTGTGGCAGGAAGAACCAATCAGGTTCTCAGCAAAGTTGCTTGCTCCCAGAACACCCTCCCCAGCGTCCTGACCTACCTTAGTGGTGTTGGGTCACCTGCTGCATCATGCTGAGCTCCAGATGAATGGACCCCCCCCCCCCGCCCCGCCTCAGTAACAGGGGATGTGTCTGACATATGACAGTGCCAAGTTTTAGGAGCTGGAGAGATGGATCAGTGTGGTTAAGGGTGCTTGCTACTCTTGCAGAGGACAAGACAATTAGTTCCTAGAATCCATGTCCGACAGCGTACAACCGCCTGGAACTCCAGCTCCCCCTGGATCCTATGCCGTCTTCTGGACACGCACACAAATCTAAAAGTGCCAAACTGTATAAGACGTAGCAGGAGGAGCCTTTCCACCTCTCGATCCTCAACACTCACCAGCTTTTAAGACTGAAGAAAGGCCCGTAGCTACCTTAGACTTCGTTTTCTTATAGGAAAACTGGAAAGGATTTCTTTCAAGAGTGGTATGGGTTACATGGAATAGGGAAGGGGCCCTGAATGTGCCTCTGCCACTGGACTGCAGCACGGCTCACAAACAGAGCCTTATGAAAATCTATCTCTTTGCCAAGCAGGCAACCCCTTCTCTGCTCCCACTCTCCTCCAGGGCTTCTGGGTTTCCAGGCAGACTTATTTCAAAGAAATGAGAAGCAGGACCATAGTTCACAAAGTGAGGATCCCTGTTACTGTCTCACTGCTACAAGTCCAAGGTCATCATGATTTAGTAACATTCTTTCTCCATATGCCCTAGTCATGACCTGCTTCTATGGTGTAGTCATCCAAGATGCAGGGTACCAAGATACCAGGCCAAAGCATCAGGCTGAATGCATTTAAGGCCCCATCATTTAGGAGCCCTGACTCTGGAGGAATTAGTGTTTCTGGGTCTCAGGGGGGCCAATGCCATGGGGACTATGGTGAGAAATACAGGACAGATCAGAATGCAGATAGCAGTCAACCTACTGTTACTCACAAACATGTTGCACACACGGAAATCAAGATCTCAGTGATGCTGGTACCTGAGGGTACAGCTCGACATATAATCAGCTTCTCAGAACACAAGCACTGTGCAAGAAGGCCATGTTCCATTTCTCTACACTCCCACCCCAAGCCCTGTGTACTCCTGGTTCCTGGCATGTGCACAGTAAACTGAGTTAACAACATATGCCCAATGGTGGTGCTGGCTTGCTTTTTGTTCTAATGCGCTCTGCTGTAATTCGTGGGGTCCGGCTTCTCAGGGTGTTGTCTAGGATTCTGCAGAACTTCTACTAAAAAATTATTTTAAGGGCTGGAGAGATGGCTCAGCAGTTGCGAACACTGGCTGTTCTTGCAGAAGACCTGGGTTCAAATCCCAGCACCCACATGGCAGCTAACAACTGTACCTCCAGTTCCAGGGGATCCAACAGCCTCTTCTGACCTCTGCTGGTATTGCATGGCACAGGTGTACTTACCTACATGCAGGCAATACATGAATACACATAAAATAAAAGTAATAAATTTAGAAAAAAAAAATTTTCTTTTTTTTTGTCTTTTTGAGACAGGGTCTCCTTGTAGCCCCAGCTGTCCCTGGAACTCACTATGTAGACCAGGCTGGCCTCTGCCTCCCAAGTGCTGGGATCAAAGGTGTGTGCCACCACGCCTGGCTCATAAATAAAATATTTTTAAAAATTAGTTTGAGTCAGAGTCTCATGTATCTCAGGCTGGACTTAAACTTACTATGTAACTGAGGATGAACTTGAGCTCCTGATTCTCCTGCCTCCAACCTCCCAAGTGCTGGGATTAAAGGCATGTAACACCATTACCCCCTTTATGCCATGCTGGGGATGGAACTCAGGGCTCTGTGTACTCTAAGCAAGGACTCTTATCAATTGAGCTACATCCCTAGCCCACTTTGGTTACCTTTAATAAAGTTCTTCAGACAGACAAGCAGAAGACTGACTGACTTGTGCTTTTTGTTTGTTTGGTCTTTTTGAATCAGAGTCAGGTGGTAGCCACAGCTGGCCTAGAACTCGCTATGCAGGCCAGGCTTCAATCTCAGAGAGATCAGCCTGCCTCTGCCTCCCATGTGCTGGAATTAATCGCATGCATCACCATGCCTGGCTTGACTTGTGGCCATTTTTAAGAAACCCTGTTAGATATACCTATGCTCCAACGATCAAGCCCCGTGGACACAATAGCTTCAACCCCCTTCCTGGTCCTTCATATTAACCCCTCACTATATATAGGACACACACTTTAGGGCAGATAAGCAGGTAAAGGTGCTTACTGCCAAGCCTGAGGACCCAAGTTCAATAGCCAAGACTCACATGATGGGGAGAACCAACTCCTAGGAGTTGTCCTCTAACGTCCATACCCACAGCTAGGGCTTGCGTGTGGTCCCCACCCGACAAAACAAATGTAACTTATGAAATAATGACACAGTTCATTAACAATACAACCTTTCGCAGAGGAGAGAGGTGACCCACACTTTCATTTTCTTTATTTTTCATTGATACCGTATGAATACAAAGTTTCTAGAAAGCTACAAAATGTCTACCACTTTATCAAGAAGGCATCAAAATGTGTCACTTTGCAAAGACATGAAAACACCTGCAGGAACTGACACAAAAATAGCATTTTTAGAGTGATGAAATAATTGCACTTAACTGTCATGGATATTAAAGTTATCACACATATGTACCGCGAAAGCTAGAATACATTTTTTGTACAAAGCACTTTATAAAAAAATTCTCTGCACACAAACCCTATAATTTTCATATAACTATCATACTAAAGATAATTCACTTTAAAGCCGACACTTAGAACATCTTTAAACAAAGTGGTACCAGTACCTAAACACAAACATTAACAAACACAAGAACACTGTGCTGCCAGGAGGTCTACCCAAACGCTTTCTCAAAGTTTCTGCAGAGTTAAGAAAATGTGTGAATGAGCCACCCCACCCCCTTTTCCGCCAGTCTTCCCCCACAGGAACCCAGAGGTGGGCTCCAGCCCAGTCCCAGCAGCAGTACAGTATCAAAGGAACCACTTACGTCACAAGTCCGTTCTATACAAGTTACACGAGACAACAGACCATGAGAACCCAGTAAGTCGATTAGAACGTGAACGAACATGTGGCAAAACTCAATTTACATAAAATTTGAGCATATCAAAGAAGTAAAGGCTATTCGGGTTTTTTTTAATGTTACAAAAAGATGTTTTTGTTGTTATTTTTCAGGCACGTACTGTTTTTTCCTTGTCTGCAGTCATAAACCCATTGAAAAGGCCTGGAGAGTCACTCTTTCAAGGAGGTAACAGGGAGATGCACATCTTTTTTTTTTTTTAAAGGAAGTACAGATAGTATCTAATTTATACAGTGAAACTGAATCACAAAAAACAATTAATGCCAAAACAAAATCCAAAAAGAAAACTGAGGGCAGGTTTCCCACTGATGGATGTGTGGATTCTGCCTGTCTCTCCGAAAAGAGGGAAGTGGAGCGAGTCCATGATGGAGCTGACAAAGTCAGGCCTAGCAAGGACATGAGTGGGATCTGACCCCAGGTGAGGGGTGAGGGAAGGGGACAGAAATGCTGTTTGCATCTACAGTGATGTAGTGTGGGATACAAGTGACTCAATGCAAATTCACAGAGAAAACAGGTCAGGGCTTAGGAAGGAGAATAAATACAAATGCTTTATCCTAATCAGTGATGCTTGAATTCAGTGAAACTACCTTTTGCAATGCAGCAAATTTTAAATACAAAACCTTCATTCTTAAAGGTATAAGCAAAGGGTTTACGAGAGAAAACCATGGTCATGTGAGACAGCCACAGTCAGAAAGAGATGCAAGAAGACACATCTGACTAATGTCTTCCAAGTTGTGGTGCATTCCCAACAGGGAGGAATCTAAAACCTCAAACAGCTAACTACCAGTGCTGAGTCATTGTCCTTGTCATTTGATAGTTTTTGTTTTATTTTTAAACAGAACTTTTATACACACAACTTGGGGTGGATACAAATCACTTCTGAAATTTCAGAGCCTAAAGAGCCTATTTGTTAGACACCAGGTAGAAACAGAGAGAACTTCTGTAGTAAAAATTTAGAGGCTAACTTTCAAAGTTGTCTGATGTTATTTTTATACCAGCAAAGGGAGAAAAAAACAAAACAAAAAAACCCACCTTTTTTCCTGGCTTCTTTTTGGCTTTTTTTTTTCTTCTGTCTCTACCTCTTGGTTCTTCTAACTCCTGCTCTTTACTGGTATCAGTTTTTCCCAATGTACAAAGGTTTCGCTCTAAGCTGACACAGACTTTAAAGAGGTGGCCCTCTAAGGGCTGGAACATTCTTTGAAGATGCCGAACATGGTGCTCTTTGGAAGTCTCTCGTGACACATTCAAATGTAACACTCAAGAGCCAGCAAGTTGGCTGTAAGAAGAATCTTCAATTGTAACGATCCTAACCTTTTTTAATTTTTCCTGCACTGTCATCTCAATCTGAGGCTTCCAACGATTGAATTGGTATCACTGTGTAAAACGGGTAAGTGCACACTGTCGTCTGAACGGACAAGAAAGTCTCCAGAGACTGGATTCGAACACAAGAAGGCAAAAGCCGCATACTGCCCACTGGCCGGGATTCTGTTGCTCGCGGGTAGGCTCCTTCCCAGGGATGCAGGGCTGGGTGATGAGTTGACACGACATGCCGGGGGTCAGCACACAGACACAACAGTCTGCGAGGTCACCCTGCCGCAGGTGAGTGTGGTGGGGTCCCCAGTGGCAGACTTGCGGCAGGCGGGGCCCACGTGGTGCTCTCTGAATGGAGGCCTGTGGCTGATTATCATCCCAGTTACCAAAGGCATTACGGTGATCTCAAAATATTTTTGGTCTCTCTACAAGTCGTCGTTATTATAGCGGCACTTTTCTAAGCTGGAATCTCAAGCCAAAGGCACTTTCATGTTGGAGCGCAGAAGATTCACAAATAGCTAAGTATTTGGTCATGAATTTAAAAAGGCATCGATGAAAAGTACAATTCGCTTTTCATGGTAAACCGAGTTGCAAACTTTAGTTTTGGTATGGAGATATATTTGAGAATGTGGTCAAAGAACTGACTTGGGTTCCATTTCAGATTTTTTTTTTTTTAACCAAGTTTCCTAGAGAGCTAGATTTAAAAATGGGCACTCAGAACGAAAAAGAGAACCATTTTGGCCGGTCCTGCTGTGGACTCGGGGTCCACTGGTAAATGGACACCGACGCAGGTGTGGGCAAAGGCTGGCGGCGACTAAGGTATTGCTAAGGCACTGCTTCACCGGACACTTTGGCAGCTGTGAATTGAAAACTCTCTTAAAAAAAAGTAACAGTAGAAAGAGAAACGCTCCCAGCTTACGAAAGGGCTCACGGTTCCGAGGCAGCCTTTTGCACCCTATGACAACGACGACAAGGCGTCTCCAAGATTTAAGGCTTTTCAGAAATACACGTCAGGGCTTAGCCACAGAAACATCAACATTAAGTCAGCAATGCACGCATCCTCCTTATGTCACAGGTGGGGACACCACCAGTTAGTTCTCCCCTTCCTTAGGACAGGCGTAGTATACCAGAGCATACACAAAATCATACAAATTTATAGGTCCCTGGTTTAGAAAATTGACTGTCACATGACTGTAATCATTTACAGTTTTAGAAAAACAATGGCTAACGCCACCACGTTACTGAAGCCTAATGAAGATTTGGGGTTAAAAGTCCTCTGGGAACTTTTAACACCAAGGGCTATGTTTTGGCTGGTGTGTGGGCAGGACACTTTGCTGCTGGGATGGTTGGCAAGTAGAATTTGACTCAGAGTCTGTGGCTGGTGAACTGTCCTCCAAAAAAGCAGAAAGGCTCAGCAGTCTCTGTACCTGCTTCTGGTCCCCGAGGATGGCTACAGCTCGAGGACAGGCACTTGTCATACTAGGTGATGCTGGGCTTCTGCACGGGGCTCTGAACTGACCCTATCCATCATTCTTAGGGATCACATAAGCATAGAGCACCAAGGGAAGATGGCCTCCACTGTGGGGAGGTCGAGGATGAATGAGAAGCCCCGACCCTTGTTCTGTCACTAGTCAGTTGTGGGGCTTTGGGTCAAGCACCTCATCCCCTCAAGATGAAAGGAAATGGAGTGTGCTTTCTTTTAGTTCAAGAGTGAACGACTCCATGAGTCCCCTTCGGGAACAGATCCCTGCCCTGTCCACAAAGAAGTTCAACAGATTCCACCAACAGCATGGACCACAAAACAGAAAGGAGAAGCGAGTCAGAGGAAATAAACTAAAAGTCAAAGGTTTGATGAGGAGACCCAGGTACTTCTGAGAAAGAACCAAAACTGTGGGATTAAAAAAAAAAAAAAAAACTTAGTAAAGGCTAATGCCGAATCAGCCGATTTCAAGGAGGGTGACAATTAGCTGTCTCCAACTCCCCCAGGGATGAGCAAAAGGGCAGACACAGAGAGATGGCTGGGAAACAGAAGTCTCAAAACAGGAGGAAACATGGATGTGGTGGATGACTGATGCCTACCTGCTTCTTTTGACCTAAAAAAAGGCTCCTAGGAGAGCAGCTTTTACAGGGTCCAATGGAAGAGAAAATAGTCACCAATATGCCAATGTGACCAATGAAGGAAAGGGCAACCAAAAATTTTCAGCTGAGGTTGAACCTGGCACCCCTCAGGACATTTGGTCATTCATGAGGGCACTGAATTGTGATAAGTGTGGAAGAGGCCAGACAATTAGCTGGTTCAAAATGTCCCTAGTGTCAAAATGGACAAAGCCTGGGCTAGTGTCATCTTTACTCTGAGTCCCAGGTCATGTTCTGAACAAGCACTGATTTGACTTTAGGTCTCTCCCTACAATGGCCATGAATGCCAACAAAACATAGCCCTCACTGGCCCCTGCCAGGGGAAAGCTGGTCTCACTGCAGAAGTCTCTAGAGACCTGTCCTGGAGAGTCACTGGGAGACAGAGAGCACCAGGAGAGAGGTTAGGAACAGGGCTCAGGGGCTCAGCAAGGGCTTCCTTTACAGGAAGCTGAGAAGGGGGAGATGAGCCAAGTAGGAGGATGGATCAGAGAGAGATGGGACTGGATGCTAAGATACAAATCCCACCAGAGGGTCTAGTTTGGAAAACAAAACAAGAAATCCAAAAGTTTGGGATAACTAGATCACTGCTGCTTAAGGCAGAGAAATGATAGAAGATTTAACACTTTTATAATCAAGGAGGTGGAAGATCAAAAGACTCAAAGGCTGGGGAGAGCTGGTGCAAAACAGTGTCTTTTGGACAGGACAGAACAGGACAGGACAGGACAGGACAGGACCACTGCATTCGTGAACTCACAGCAGCTATGGCTGTCTACACAAGATCAAGCCAGTCAACATTCTAGTATGGGGATTTGAGGGGGATGGGACACGAGGCCCCATCCCAAACTGAGGAGCTATTTGACAACTAATGGGAGAGAGAGTTGGTTTTCTCTAAGGGTGTGACCCTCTTATTCCAACTATGCTCCAGTGGATGGCCCTACCTCCATGAGTACTTGGGCAGCATAAATTGGTCTTGGTGTTTTTTGAAGAAGACATGAAGTTGGGAGGGGGGGTAGAAATGGGAGAAGTTAAGGGGGTGGTGAATAAGATCAAAATACATTGCATGAAATTCTTACAAAATAAAAGTACTGTATTTTAAAATATTATAGCTGTTTTAAAAGCAAAAAGTAAGCCTGGAAGTCTTTCCTATCTCCCTCCACAGCCCACCTGAAAGGTATGTGGGAGGACATGGGTGGTGACAGAGCAGAGGACCCAGCCTGAACCAGGGAGGTGGGCCAGCTAGGGTGCATGCAGCCAACCCCTGCCCTCTGGCTGCCACTTGGGAAATACACTCCCCAGAGCCCTCTTGGTGGCACAGAAGAGCAGTTCCACTCCTGGGTGGGAACACAGCAGACCTCTCTCCTCATTCTGAATCTGCCTGGCTCTTAACCATAGGAGATCATTTGTACCCATCCATATAGGCCTGATCTCAGGGGAGTGAGGGATCCCTCCAGAGAAGATGAAAGGAACTAGAGCCAAAGAAAATATCCCTAAGAGGAGTTTCCAACAGAGTAACTATAAATGTCATGAGAGATGCTTAAATACTTGTCTGAAGATCAGACAGAGGGGTGGAAACCCAGGGCACTCCTTCCTTTGAGGATTGGCTTAGAGCCAGGGAACAAGGGTAGTTTGTTTTGAAGAGTACACTGCCCCACCAGGTTTCACAAGGGAGATGCACTTCTAGTGAGAGGTCTCCCATTCTGTTCTGCTCTGGTTTTCCCAGGGACTGGCAAGTATCTGGGAAAAGACAGACTCATTCTAGTGTGGTTTTTTTGGCCACAAGCCAGTCAAACCCACCGGGTGTATAGTGCTGAACACTATACAAGCAGGAACTGGGGCAAAAAAAAAGGTGTGTAAGTCACCTGGGTATGACAGAAGTAGGATTTTACTTTATAGTCTTGGAGCAAAAAAACTGCCACATTTTATAACTTACAAAAGTTATTTCATGTTCTATTGTGTTCACATATTCTTAAAAGTTATATAAAAAAAAATACCTCCTTTTCCTCTGGGAAGCTGAGGGGTAATTCTTCTTCCCTCCTCAATGAAGAAGCACTTACAGAAATAACCCAAGACATGAGGTCACATCAGACCAACTCTGCTGGGCAATGCTTTAGAATACTGGGATTATAAAATTGAAATCACTCTTGGTAACAGAACTTTCTGAATGTGGGAGCCTGCTTGAAAAGAATAGACAGAAAATTCTTGAACACAAGTTGACTGAGTGCCTTGTGGCTTACAGAACAAGCAAAGAAATAGTTGTCTTTATAGAGAGAATATATTCATGTCCACAATGCACACTGAGATCTAGAGACATAAGCACTTAGCACACTGACAGGGAGCATGTTCAGAGTTGAAGGTCCACATGTACATGCAGTACACATGTACACACACACACACATACACACACACAGAGAGCTACAAACATGGCAGCTTCCTACACATGTTGGCATGTTGGATCCACAGGTGGTGAGGGTACTTGTGACATTCTGGGGAACAGAGATGCTGAGCCTGAAGAGCCTTTTCCTTGTCTGGTTGATGATGATTTTCTCCCAGCCACAGGACTCTCTATACTTTGCAACTCACAGGGCAGAGTTAGTGCCAATCAAAAAATTTTGCTATTAATTTCAGTGGTTCAAATATTAACTCATCTTGATAAAAAAATTTGGTTGACTATATAAAATATAACCGCACACACAAGACTATGAACACTGTAAGCTTAGATTTTTTTCAGTATTTAACTACTTATTGCAAAAGGGCCATCTTTTCTTTCTTCATTAAATAATTATCACATTAGTACAATACAATTTTACATTTTTAAATATACTATATATGTTAAGGATAAGAGGTGAAGTTTTCTTCCTTTGTAATACCTGTTTCAATAGTTTAATGAATTAGGAGATTAGTTTTAACCTTGAAAAGAAAAAGTACAAATTTGTCTCATTAGGGTATTTCTACCAAGTATTTCTTAAGGCTATAGTTTAACATTTGGTTTCAAAAAGAAAGAAAGGTTTCATTTAAAAAATAATTTAGTGAAATTACACTCTTTCATAACTTCCACCCTAATTAGTTACAAAGATTAAAGAATCTTAGTTTCTGTGTGCTAATGTACACTTATATTTAAAGATTAATTTTACTTGTATCTTAAAACAAGAATTTTATGTTGGGAAAAAAGAGAAACTAAATACATGTGTATAAAGGCGGTCAATGTCCCACGGCCAAGCTCTGTCTCAGTGTTTTCTCCCACAATAAGAAACAAGTCTGGGGGGGCTTAGGCTATTCAAATTCACCTTTCCCAAGGAGTTGTGGGCTGCAGATCTGAGGAACACATAGAAACAACTCGATTTCTCTTTTTACAACTGTACCAAAACTTCACAGCTACAATGATGGGTATGAACACATGGAAAAAAAATGACTTCACTCAAACAGGATTTAGAAAAGTTGGGGCGTGACCTTAGGGCCAGGACACCACCCTGTGTGGTGAGGTTTACAGTCAGTCGTTCGATAATGGAGAGAGTGTGTGTGTGCACATAGGTGTGTGTATATACAGATATCTATATATATAAATAACCATGTTCAGTCCTTTACAAGCCTGTAAATATGATGCTGTGCTCCATGTTCACTATTTGAAACTTCAAATACACAGGCCATGCAGAGCAGAGTTTCTTGCGTATCCCTGTTTGTTACCACCTGTTTAAGAGAGAGAGGAAAAAAAGGTATATACATATCACAGCACATGGATGAGAACATGGTCTAACTGGGCCAAGAGAACAATGGTTTCATTAGAGAGAAGCAGTCTTAATCTGATGGGTGGATTTGAGTTCGCTCTGTATCCTCTAACACGTTCAGGAAATGACAGGTCCCACTAGAACCCCACCTAGCATGGCATCTTGTGACAGGTCCCACTAGAACCCCACCTAACATGGTACTACATGGAAAGAAGACTCTATAGACAGGTCTTACCCATCACATGCATCTAAGAGGTTACCTCAAGAACTCAAGAGGTTACCTCAAGGTGTCCTTTGTGTTAAGGGATGATTTCTGGACCCTCCAGGGAATGTTCAATAATAATACAGCCCAGCAGGACAGTCACCTGCCTTAAGTTATTCTCACCTATCTCAAGTTTTTATCTTATTTTTAATTGACAAATAATAATTCTACTTGTTTCTCAGGTATGTGATGTTAGGATCCACCATCAAATGGTCAAAGCAAACTAATGACCAGTCTTCATCTCATCCTTATTTCTCTGTGGTTAAGAACATTTGAAATCTTTTTCCTGTCTTATGTTTAAATTTGTGCTAAATTCTGTTATGGACAAGCTCAATGGGCACCTTGCTCAGTATGCCACATTAACTAAAAGGACCTTGACATAGACAGAATTCATCCGAAGTGAGGCCTTGGACTGTATCTCTCAGTGTATTAGGAAACACACATCCTTTCTCTTGTGAGTCACGTCTCCTGAATCCCTCTCCCTCACACCCATGGCCTTAGCCTCCTTCGGATTCAAGCTCTGGCTTCTCTTCCTTACTCTGGTCTCAGTCCCCCAGGCCATCTCAGAAGGAACTTCTCAAGGCAAATCTAATCAAACTTACCTCATCAAAACACTTCAACGACTCTGTGACTTTTGTGTTCAAAAACGTTTTGAACTTGACCGCCTAGTCTAGCTTGTCTAAGACCCAATTTCCCCATGCAACAGACTGTGTCACCCACTTAAGTTTCACTTGCCTTCAAGGCATCCAACTTTACAGACCCTAACTAACGAATAAAGTCTCATTGTGCTTCTGATTTTTCTCTAGAGAGTTGTGTGACTCATAGATATTTGTGTGTTTTTCTTCTAAAATCTGCCAGCAATTTAGAATCCACTGAACGAATGAAAAGTCAGTGGCCATCATACACTGAGTGCTCAGTACTATTTACACAGACTGTCTCACAGAACACCACAAATCTGAGTGAAGGCTACCATTCCTGCTGACAGAGATAGGGTTGGGGTGCTAATGTGCTCTAATCAGTTCAAAGTTGTCTATTCACCAAGCAGGTCTTCCCCAACCTCAAAATCTAGGTCCTATAATCTCAGTACCATGTCCCTCTGCCAGATACTGGCTACCATTTTACTTTCCATTCATTTACTGCTGACAGGATGACTGCCTGCCTCTTTCACCAGACCCCGGGACGGCTGCTCCGCCTGTCCAGATGATCTCAGCGTTCCCAGCACCTGACATCCACAAAATGTACCCTTGCTTGGTAAGTCTGAAAAATGTCGCTTTTCAACTTAAACACCATCTTTGCCATCCTTGATGATCCCCCACCTCTCTTTGGACTTCCACGGTACCTGGTCCAGAAATACCCAATAACTTTCAAGACCCTATATCATGATCTAGCTACCACCCACTTTGACTCAATGAGCCATGAGTTACTATGGCACAAGCGTTGTGTGGTATTGGTATGGCTTTCCAGCAGCCAATACATGGGTTAGCTCAGAGAGTGAAAACATTCTCACTGGTCACCCCAGAGGTGGAGGGTACAGACTTATCTGTTTGTGCTGGATAGCTTTAGTGTCAACTTAACACACCTGGGTTGACAGAGCCTCAATAGGGGAACTGCCTTCATTGGACTGGCCTGTGGCCATGTCCATGGGGCACCGTCTTGATCGCTGAGTGGTGTGGGAGGGCCCAGCTCACTATGGGTGGTGCCATCCCTGGGCAGGTGGGCCTGTGTTGCATAAGAAAGCAGGCTGAGCAAGGGCCAGAGGAGCAAGCCAGTAAGCAGCATTCCTCCATGGCCTGTGCTCCAGCTCCTATCTCCAGGTTCCTGCCCTGAGTTCCTACCTTGGACTCCCTGATGAACTGTGACCCAGGAGATGTAAGCCAAATAAACCCTTTCCTCCCTAAGTTGGTACTGGTCAGAGTATTTTGTCATAGCAATGAAGAAACAAACTAGGACACTGTTTATTAATGGATGCAGACGTGGAGGTCTGAAGACTAAATGGCTTGGTCATAAAGGAGAGCTGAATCCTCAACTCAAGCTTTCTGGTTTCATGACCAAATATTCTGCAAAGCCTCTTACTGACTCACGTCATAATCTATGTCAATCACCATGATCTTGAGTAGGCCTAGTATTCCTTAACCATAAAAATGTTGGGGCTGGAGAGATGGCTCAGTGGTTAAGAGCACTAGCTGCTCTTACAGAGAACCCAGCTTCAATTCCCAGCACCCACATGGCAGCTAACAACCGTTCATAACTCCAGTTCTGGGGGAATCCAATGCCTTCTTCTGACCTCCCCAGGCACTGCATGACACAGGTACCACATGCAGGTGACACATTCATACACATAAAAATAATAAATATTTTAAAAAGGATGTTATGGCTTACAGTGAGAAATTTAGAATAAAACATTTACAATGGGTTTATGTACCTAGCATAGTGCTTGGAGCCATTCAGACCCACCCACCTTCTTGCAAACTTTGTCTTCTTTTTGTTGGTGCTGAGGACTGAACCCAGGGACCCATGTATGGTAGGCAAATAGTCTACCACTGAGCTACATCCCCAGGGATCTTTTCATTTTTATTCTGAGGCAAGTTCATACTAAGTTTCACTGGCCTTGAACTCTCTGTAGCCCAGCAGGCCTTGAATGAACATCTTCCTGCTTCAGTTTTCTGAGTAGCTAGGATAATAGGCCTGTGGCACCAGGTCCAGCTTCTTAGAAACTTCCTGTGTAAGAATGTACCCAGCTGAGGCTTCATGACTGAGATTTAAAAGGGAAAAAAGCATGTGACCTCAGAAGATACCAGGCGTACCTGGCCCATGGTTCAGCTGTGACTTTCTCAGCTCTGTACATGGCCATCACTTACTTCCTGGCACAACTCAATGCAATCGGATTAGATGACCCCAGCAGTCATCACCCCATCAGCCATCACGGTTTTTTAACTGGCCTGGATGACCCAGCTTTATACCCAAAGTACTTGGGAAAGTGTCTTCAACCTTACCGAGCAGCTGCCAACAAGAGCCAAGTGTAGTTTCTCTTGTTCATCAAACAGATGGTTTTGTTTTCAGAATCTAGGAGTTCAATTCCAGTTTTTCTAAGGCTATATTATTTCTAGCAGAGTGTCTCTCAGGGTCTCTCACTAAGACCAGAGCACATCAATTAGGCTTCACTGACTGACCAATGAGCTCTAGGCATCTTCCTGTCTTTGCCTCCTCAGTGCTGGGAATACACACACACTCCCATGCCCAGCTTTTTACATGGCTGTGGGTCCTCATGCTTGCTCAGCAAGCCCTTTACTGACTGAGCTGTCTCCACAGCTGCTGCGCCTGGTCTTAAATATCAGGAGGGAAATTTCAAAGCCTGGAACTTGCTCCCTGTCACTCCCCTTGCTGCAAACTGATAACCTTCTATCAAAAGACCACTAGAGAAAAGGATATTAATGAACAACTACTGAAGAGGCACTCCAAATCTTGCCCTAGATCACCAATTACTAAATTTCAGATGCACACAGGTACATCTGAGACTGGACTGAGACTCTCTAGAATAAATGAAACTAGGATTTCCCAGCTGCGTGCTGATCCTGTGTTGAACTCAGACTCCAGTCCATGAGCAGTGGCTCCTTGTTCTGGCTGTGTCATATGACTACCTGGATAGCTTTCAAAATAAACAAATGAGCTGAGAGATGGCTTGGTGGTTAAGAACACTGGCTGCTCTTGAAGAGGACCCAGATTCAAATCCCAGCACCACATGATGGTTAACAATCATCTGTAACTTCAGTTCCAGGGGATCCAATGCCCTCTTCTGACCTCCACAGGCACTGCATGACGGGGGTGCACTTACACACATGCAGGCATAAGACTCATACACATAAAATAATGAATAAAATTTAAAAAAGAAAAAGAAACAAAACATGGAATGGTAGGCCCCCAACCGTAAGACTTTTGAAAACCTTCCTGAATGAATTTAGTATGTGAAAAGTTACATTTTAAAATCTGACTTTTTTACAGTGGTATATGGGAGCTGACTTCTGCCAGATTATTAAAGTTATTGTTAAATTACCAAGGAATTAAATGAGCTAGGCAACCACTGGCAACTTGAAATTGCCTATGGAGGGCAGATTTACACCAGGGAAATGGGCAAAAGGTTAGTGTTTGCTGTATTTTGGGTGTGCAAGAGATGTATGGATATGCATGCTATGTGGAGGTCAGAGGGCAACTTGATGGGGTCAGTTCTCTCCTTCCACCTCAATGGGTCCTGGGGACTAAACTCAGGTCAACAGGCTAGTGCACCAAATGCCTTGACCTGCTGAGTGGACGCCTTTACCACCTTGCTGGTCTTTATTTATTTGAGTTAGGGTCTCACTATATAGTCCATCCTGGCCTCAATCTCCTAATTCTCCTGCCTCTGTCTCCCAAGTACTGGGATTACAGTGTGTATTACCACACAGAACTTAAATCATGTTTTCTTGAACAGGAAGGGGCATAGGTAGAAAACATGAAACAAAACAGTACATCTGACTGAGGATCAGTGTCCCAAGGGAACCAAAACCAGGCACAGAATTCCTGTTGTGAACACTCAGCTCCTCATTCCAGTAACACAGTAAGGTGGCCTTCAGAGGGCCTTTGCCATTCCTTCCAGAAAAACCCTCCACTGAGTTTTATTTTGGCATTTTGCCCACAGTGTGATTAAGAAATGTTATTTTCTTACAAAATGAGCCTTACAAAGTCCATTACTGCACATTTTATAAGCACTTTTGGAGGACAATGCTGTTCCTCATAATGTTCCCAAACCCAAAGCCTCCAGGAGAACTGGTTTCAAAGTAGGAAAGGAAAATGTGCACAGCGGCACTTCCCAGGATGCATGGGGAAGGCCAGAGTATTTCCCCCTCTCTCAGCTGCCTGTACCTCAGCCACTGGATGGAGGCCATGTCCATCCATCTTCCCTGTATCCTTTTCTACCTGTTATTCTATTTGGACCTATGAGCCCTACTTTCTTTTCAGAGTGTGTAGCTGTGTGTCATGTTCATGTGCGTGCAGGTGCACATGTGTGCGTGTGAAGGTCAAAGCTCAACCTTGGCTATCATTCCATAGGCATTGGCCACTCATTAAATTTATTTTCATTTATTTTTCTATGTCTATGAGTGTTTTGCTTGCATGTATGTAAGTGCCCCATCTACATACGATGCTCGAGGAGGCCTCAGATCCCCTGAAACTAGAGTTATGGACAAGTGTTAGCTTCCATGTTGATGCTGGGAACCAAGCCTGGTCCTCTGCAAGAGCAGTCAGTGCTCTTAACCACTGAGCCATCTCCCAGCCCCCATCTTGTCCATTGAGACCGGACAGCTCACTGGCCTGGAACTTGCCAAGGAGGCTTGGCTGACTCACCAGCAAGTGAAGCCCCAGGATCTGAATGTCTCTGCCTCCTGGGACCGCAACTGTGTGCCACCACCAATTTTTATGTGAGCTCTGGGGGTCAAACTCAGGTCCTCAAGCATTTAACTGACTGAGCCATCTCCCCAGCCCTACTTTCCTATTTTAATAGCATGCTACTCCACACAAAACCTTGCCAAGCATCCATTAAACAAGCCAGGTAACCCGAAGTACAGTATTACCAACTCAGCTCTGTACCATTCATTAATCTGTGTAGCACAGACCCAACTTTGGCTAAATTGGAATAATCTGTGGGATTTAAGGAAAAAATATGGCTGCACCCTACTCTCAAGAGCCTGATGGTAATGATCAACCAAGGGATCAAGACTTGTAAAAGTTCTTTAAATCGTCTCTCAACTCCATAGCCAGAGTGGAGAACCCCATCATCATTTTTATCACTCATCGAATTTCTGTTTTGTGAAGTCAAGAAACGCCAGACAGGTGGACCCCTTCTCTTCTAGACCAACCCAGGCCCAAATACAGCCCAAGTTTGTTGGTTGGATCTATAATTCAACTGCTGTCTGAACACCCAACAGACAAGTCTGCTGGGCTGAAGCCTCGGTGCCTTCCCGCCATCCTTCCTTACTGTCTGTATCAAGTTCAGCTCAGACCCTGCCAAAACAGGAAAGACCATTACCAATAAAATTGTGAAGTTTTCCAAAACACTATTCATCATGTATTTCTCTGGTAAGTGTTTGAGCTTGTGGATGAAGTTGATCATATATTCACACATTGGCGAGCGGTTTATTCGGTATACAAATCGACCATTCTCAAATCTTGCATACTCCGTCTGTGAGGAAAGAAAGGATCTGAGCCTTTATACACTTCAAACAATAAGAAACCAAGATATTTCCTCTAAAAGCACTTACCTTTTCAACATGAACCATCTGTTATTTATGTATGTCTAATTATATATACATAATTAAAAAGAAATCCTATCTCCAAACTTACTGCCATACACAGAAACTATTGTTTTTCCCGAAGTTCAGAAAAATGTTGGAAAGGTGACAGTTTTAAAGTATTTGATAGGTTCTTTCAGCTCATACACACAAACTATTGTGTTTTTCGAAGTGTAGAAAAATGTTGTAAAGATGTCAGTTTTATAGTATTTGATAGGTTCTTTCAGCGAAGACATGTGTGTGTGTGTGTGTGTGTGTGTGTGTGTGTGTGTGTGTGTGTGTATGTGTGTGTGTGTGTAAGTACTCCCTAAGAACAGAGTGCAGCAAGTTAGAATTCTTCAAAGAGCACAAAGAAATGCCTCTTACCATGATAATGCTTCATGGGCCACCAGCCAGGTGCAGCTAGCTAATCCACTTTAAGAAAAACTAGTTGGATGCCCGACACTGATCATGAGCTCTAGGATAGATGGATGGATGGATGGACGGATGGACGAACAGGTGGGCAGAAAGGACAGGTAATGCAGCTGGCTGGTTTATCCACTTTGAGAAAAACTGGTTATCTTTCACTAATCATGGATGGATGGATGGATGGATGGATGGATGGATGGATGGATGGATGGATGGACCAGACTGAAGGACAGATGGAGAAACAGACAGACACAGAGGTGGGTAAAGAGGAAGAGGAGGAAAGGAGAGAGGGGTGGCAGATGTACATATAGTCTGAAAGCTCCACACACTCAGAAATAAAAAGCACACTCAGATCACTTTGGGTGAAAATCAGAAAGAAAATTACAAGCTATCAAAAATGAATGAGAAGGGCTAGAGAGCTGGCTCACAGTTACGAGCACTTATTGCTCTTCCAGAGGACCAGAGTTCAGCTCCCAGCACCCAAGGCAGGTGGCTGACAACAGCCTTTGACTCCAACTCTGGCATCTGTTGGGCGCCTGCACACATATGGCATAAAGTCATGAAGACACGAACATACAAAAAATTTTTTTTAGAGCAGTTAAGAAGCAAAATGTTTTACATATCCAAACCTATGGGGCACAATAATGCTCTTCCTGAAGGGACTTTAAAGAAGTAACTTCATACATCTTCATCGTTAGAGATAAGAAATCACAGAATTACACAACTTAAAACAAAAGCCTACACACCCCAAACCACAAAGAAGTAACAATAATAACAGCAGAAGTAGATAAAGGCTCAAATCAATGATCTAGAAATTTGAAGTGCACACAGAATCTAAAAACGGGTTTTTAATAAGACAAAACAAAACAAGCCCTTTCCACAGGCAAAAGAAGAAAGAAAAGAGGTGGAGCCAGGGTTACAGTTCAAAGTAGAAGGTACATAGGAGGGCGGTGATGCTCAGGGATAAAGCACATGCTTAGAACCACGCAGGAGGCCCTTTAAACTTGGCACCACACATAAACACACACACACACACACACCCCTTCATACAACTCTAGGGGAGAGGGCAAAGCAAAGCAAACACGGAGCACAGGACGTTGTCCAGGGGCAAAAACCGCCTGCTAATGCTGAACCAAGAAGAAATAAATGCCCATAGAGAACTGACAGCACTAGGGAGGCTAAAACAGGTGGACCTCCGAGTTTGAGGCCAGCCAGGGGTTCATCATGAAACCCTACCAAAATAAACAAAATAAAATAAGAAGGAAAAGCCATTCCATAATTGTGTGTATGTGTATGTGTATGTGTATGTGTATGTATATACTTCAGAATATACTGGACATAACAAGTACGTACAATTTTTACTTGTTGATAAAACAGATGCCAAGGAAGGTCCACAGGCACGCTTTCACAGGTTGTATGTACTCTTTGAAGAAGAGCCATTTCCAATGTCACTTCTATCATGCTAGGCCACAAAAACAGGTAAGCACCCCAATCCATATGAATCTCCATTAGATGGCGAGATTATTTTTAGAGATTATAACAAGAATAGTTTAACACTTATGAGATGTAAAACTTCTGCACAAAATATCAGCAAGCAGAACCCAGCGGCATCTCTGAAGCAGGACTTTTGGGAGAAAGCTGTGGCATTCACACAAGGAGCTGGATTACGGACTGAGCTTCTGTCAGCAAACTGGAGAAAACTGAGTCCCTGGAAAAGCCTCTGCCAAAATAGCTCAGTGACCACGTGAAACAGAAAAGAAAGCACTGAAGAGACCAACGCCAGATCAAATCTTAAATGGCCAAACATCAAAACTGTTTTCACTAATGTACCTGCCACTGCTATGGTTTTCTCTTCTGTGTATGTGCGTGTCTGTGTGCGTCTATGTGTAAATGCAGGTGCACACATGGCACAGCACATGAATGGAGGTCAGAGTGTTCCTCTGAACACCTTGAGTGTTCCTTGCTCTCCGCCCTGCTTGAAATGGTCTTGTTTCTACTGCACACACCAGGCTGGCTGGCTTGTGAGCTTCCAGAGACTGTCCTGTCTAGGCTTCCCAGCTCACTGCAGCGCTGATGGAGTACAGGTGCTAGCTAGCGCGTCCAGCTTTACACGGGTTCCGAGGCTCCAAGGCAGCCCACGTCCTCACTGCTCAGTCCAACCCCTAAAGCTGCCCTCCCAGCTCTCTTCAGCCTCACTCTGTCTTTGCCACAGGCAGGCTGGGCTCCTGGACTCACAAGGTAAGGCAGGAAGACACTGACAAGTCAATACCACTTACAAACTTTATTTACTAAAGCAGCTACCCCAGATAAACACTGACTAAAAGGAGAGAGAGAAAAAGTTTTCAAAGTTGTAAGTATATATTGCCTAACATAGAATGAAATGACATGAGTTTTTGTGTGTGTTTGTCTGTTTTGAGACAGGGTCTCAGTGAGCAGCCCAAGCTAGCCTGGAACTCATGATCCTCCTGCCTCAGTCTCCTGGGTGCTGGGAGAACAAGCATGGAACATCATGCCAGCTGAAATGGATCTAAAACAACCGAAATGCAAAGACTAGAAATGGCAAAAGCAACAATATCAAACTCAAGGTGTCGGGTTTTAGGAAGCAGGTGCCAATCAGCTGCAGAACATCTTGACTCAGCTGCCCTGCCAGAGCCTTCAGGGAGACTCTCCCCAAGGTGACCAGCATTGGCCAGCTGGGCAGGGTTGATTTCCCATACAGTGAGGGCTAGCACAGAGCGTTCTGTTTGCATGGGTGCCTCCCAACCATTTTTAACATTTAGAAACACTCCCAGCACTCGGGAGGCAGAGGCAGGTGGATCTCTGCAAGTTCAAGGCCAGCCTGGTCTACACAGTGAGTTCCAAGACAGCTGGGGCTGCAGGGAGAGCCTGTCTCAAAAAGAACAACAACAAAAAAAAGTGCAGCCTCCCACCCACCTGCCTGGTGCCATTTAAAGTAAGGCACTGGGCTGCCCCTGAAGGAAGTTTCTAGTGCATGGAGGCCAACTCACCTCTACTTTTTCTACTACTTGCTTCCCAAAGGAGCACACTTTGGTGGAACAGGTTACTGTCATGTTTTCAGAACTCTCATACTGACTGGTCACACCATAAAAGGCCCCAGCATCATCTTGGATATTGCAGTTTAAGTCAGCCTGTTGGAAAAGAATGGAAGCATGTTATTCTCTCATTGTAGTGAAGAGTAGGGTAAGCCATGGAGCAGCCGTGCATTGGGGAGGGTGGCTCAAGATGTGGGAGGAAACACCACCATGCCTGGAAGCCACATTCTTCCCAGGCAGGCCTCGAACTTGCAATGTAGTCAAGGATGATCTGGAACTCCTGCCTCTCCCTCCTAAGTGCTGGAGTGACAGGCATGTGCCAACACGTCAAGTTCGTACAGTGCTGGAACTGAACCCAGCCAGAGCCTCGTGCATGCTAAGCAAGTACTCTACGGACCAACAGAGCCCGATGACAACTTTCTGAATGCATGTTATGGCAGTCTTTCCTTGCAAGGGCAGAGTACCTGTATCTGTTTGCCTTCCTTATACTCAGTACTGGAACAGCATAGCACCCTTGCAAAGAAAGTTCCAGAGGTTCCTAAAACATATACAGAAAGCAGGACAAGAATCAGCTTTGTGCTCCCCAATCCTTAGAGATATTTGAAAAAACAAAGAGCCTGGAGCTGACTGATCACCATTACAGATGTGAAACAAAACTGCATCAGAAATGACCACACCCAGAGGAAACACTTCCTACTAACAACGGCCCTGCAGACGCTTCCATTCTTTTCTGACAGGCTGACTTAAACTGCAACTCACCTATTGAATTCTTAAGAATGACCACTATTTAAGGCTCATGATAGGCCCTTAGACTGGACAAGCTAACATGGAAGAAAGAACACTACTGTGCAGAGAGTACAGTGCCAAAGGCACCTGGAGTTCAGATAATGGAAGATCTTAGTTAAGGGATGGTTGGATGGGCAACTGCAGGGAAAGGCTGAGGGAAGAGAGTGGAATGAGGCCTGGAGTATTTCTTTCCAGCTCTGGAACACAGACGAGAGCTAAGGAGATGAGAAATGCAGCCTACACCCAGGGTGTGGACCGGGGCTGGAAAGATGGATAGGTCTGTACTGCTCTTGCAGACTGACATGAGCTTGGTTCCTGGCACCCACGTCTAGTAGCTCACTACTGCCTGTAAGTCCAGCTCCAGCAGATCCAACGCCCTCTTCTGAACTCTGAGGGCACCTGCACTCACACATGCACAGTTCACACACATATATACATATACACATAAATTTTAAAAACCCATGAAAAGGAAGCAAGGAACATATCTTGGAGGAAATGGAACCTTCGAAAGTTCTGATCCCAGGAAGCGAGGAGATTAAACTAGTACTTTAGAGCAGCGTCTCTGCATACAGTCTCTACTGGAGAAGGACATGGCCCCGGGTTTGGGTCACTGCTCTGGTGTGACTGTGGTGCAAACAAATCCCTGGAGTAGCAATGTTGGGATGCGGGGCTTTGGCAAGATGGTCAGGATTCTGCCTTTGTAAATGGATCAAGCCCTCCACAACACAAGGCCTGTGGGAGGCTGTAGCACAGCTCCCCAGACACCAGTGCCTGGACCCTGGACCTTCCAGGCCCCAGAAATGCAACTAATACATTCTGTATACCCCGAGTCCCAGCACACAGGGTGGGAGCAGCGTCAGAGTATGAGCAGCTCTGAAAAGCACCTGTGCCCACCATTTTGCCCAGGCTGGGAGAGGGCTGAGTGAAGAGAGCCGAGAGGGGAGGCCATCACTGCAACCACTGCCAGGGGACACCAGAAGACCAGAACTTCAGGTCCAGAGGGGGCTGCACTTGACATTCCAGCGGGATTTATGGACATGTTAATACCTTCACAGGTTGTTAGTACCACGAAGACTTGAACCATCTTAAATATTTTTAAGCAAAGACGTGTGTTTCAGTTCCCTTTTTCTTTTAATATTTTATTTATTATTTTTATTTTATATGTATGAGGTGGTGTGGAGGTCAGAAGAGGGTGTTGGATTCCCCTGAAACTGGAGTTAAGGGCAGTTTGTAGCTGCCCTGTGGGTGCTCAGAATCAAACCTGGCTCTGCAAGAGCAGTCAGTGCTCTTAACCACTAAGCCATCTCTTCAGCCCCCCAGTTTCCTTTTTCTAAGACAGTGTCTCACCGGGCGTGGGAGGCAGAGGTAGGCGGATCTCTGTGAGTTCAAGGCCAGCCTGGTCTACATAGTGAGTTCCAGGACAGCTGGGGCTACTGGAAGACTGCCTCCAAAAAAAAAAAAAAGGAGTAATCCTGGGCGTGGTGGCACATGCCTGTAATCCAGGCACCAGAGAGACAAAAGGCAGAAATATACCACAAACTCACAAGCTTCAGCCAGCCAAGGCTACACAGTGAACTCTTATCTCATTATCTCAAAGAAAACAAAACAAAGCAAAGCAAAACAGAAGGGAGTAAATATGTGCTAAGAAGAGCCTATAAGCTGCAACATAATATTCTAATCTACCCCTAGTTTTTTTTTTTTTAAACCTAGTTGTTTTTGATGCCAAAAGTTATTTTAAAAGACTAGTGAACAAAACAAGCCGTTGGATATTTTGGTGTAAGGAGCAGAGTGTGGAGGCAATGTGGGAAATAGAGGAAGGCTGATGGGCAGGAATGAATGACATTCTTCCTAAGTATTGACCTTAAATTACTTAGAATACACACAATAACCTATCAGTACATAAATTCTGAAAACACGAATCAAGTTTAGCTCGACAGTCATCATGAGCCGATCCAGCAAAATAGAAGACAGCATTCACTGCGGGCACCTTCCATGCCTATAAGCTAAAGTCAAAGCTGCTGTCCAGGTAGCTGCACACCTAGATTCCACAGCCTGAGTTGATCTTCAAGTTCCCAAATTTCTTCAGCCCCAGCACTCTGTTTCAGCAGTTTAAATTTTCAAACTCCAAGATCCCAAAGGTAGAAAGACAGGAGAGCATGGAAGTGACGGGCCTCTTCATCCTCATCACTACACAGCTGCTGCTTGTTTACAAGCCTGTTTAAGGGACCCAAAGGATGAGGTGGTACCCTGGACACTGCAGCTGCAGCAGGTTCAGACAGCTCTGTGCAGAACTTTAGATATGAATTCTTGGCTGTATCCATGTGTACTATTAAAGAACGGATAACACAATGATGTGCGTGCTAACCTGAAGATCTGTACGTTTTATGTATACATACAAACATACATACATATATATGTATGTATTTATATGTAAAATCAACATCTGGCCAAGCGTGGTGGTGCATGCCTTTAATACTAGGACTTGGGAGGCAGAGGTAGGCGGATCTCTGTGAGTTCTACATAGCGAGTTCCAGGTTAGCTGGCGCTACAGGGAGACCCTATCTCAAAAAGACCAAAAAAAGTAAATAAATAAAAACCAACCTCTGATACTAACTTCCTGGATTAGTTAGGAGTTAGAGAAGGGGATTTATTAGAGGCATTACTGAGAATTGTGGACATGGTGCTAACAAAAAGGCTTTTTTTTTTTTTTTAATGGTTTCTGCCAAGTACCTGTAGACAAGCAACCCTCTTATTTTAAGCCTGTACCTGGGTCAGATCATGTTGACCACCTTGCCCTGAGTTACTGCTGTGTCTTAGGACCATGTAGATAATGCTGATACACTTTTATGTACAGTTGATGATCTATAGTTGCAATTATGAATCATCAAAAATTAGGTTATTAGCTGGATGTGGCGGCACAGGCCTGTAATTACAGCATTCTGGAGGCGGCGGGGGGAGGATCGAGGTGACTCATGATGTCCACTAGCTCTACATAGTAAATTCAAGGCCAGCCAGGGCTCTATGAGACCTAGACTCAAAAAAAAAAAGTTACTAAAGAATATTCATTATGAAAATTCACCCAAGGAAATCATGTTGACAAATTATGTTTTAAAATTATCAGAGTTTTTTTCCCCATTAATTAAACTGTAACATGCGTTCCAAGCGGTTCCTCGAGCAGAAGCAGCCAGCTCCTTTGGTCTGCACATGTACCAGGACCAGATGAAGGAGGCTCCACATATGCCCTCTTCAGTCAATGACCCTCATCCCGGATATTATACCTTACAGTTTTGTCTTTTGGTTATTTATCCTCCTGCCTCTGCCTCCAAACAAAACCCCAAACAAGTGGAGCATGGTAGCATCCACCTGTAATCATTGCATGAGGTAAAGGGAGGAGGGACCAGAAGTTCAAGGTCATCCTCAGCTACATAGAGAGTCTGAGACCAGCTCAAGTTATACTAGACTCTGTCTTAAAACATAAAACTTTAAGGATTGGGGATGTTGCTCAGTTGACAGAGTGCTTGCCCAGCATGCACAAGGCTCTGGATTCCAACCTTAGCACCTCATAAACTAGCCACTGAGGAAGGAGAGGCAGGGAGGATCAGGAGTTCAAAGTCATGGTCTGCTACATGGCAAGTCTGAGGCCACTTTGGAATATATGCATTGTTATCGCAAAGAAACTTTTAAGAGTGATCTCATACAGTGCCTTTCCTTCTGGCATTTTATCTGTGAGGTTTGTCTGTGTAGCTGTGTATAGTTCATTTACCCTCATAACTGAATAAAAAAGCCGGGATCTATCCATTCTTCTACCAGTGACATCTGTGATGTTTCCAAAACCTATCTTGTGCACAGTGCGGCATGAACGTTTCGGGTATGATGCTAATGAACACCTGGATGCAAGATGTTCCTGGGCGTGTAATGCCCACTCATAAGGTGTATGTTAGCCTTCACTTGGAGAGGAGGCGCAGGTAATTCTTATACCTACCTTGTCTTTTCCTTACATTTTAAGAAAACTTTACATTTAAGAGGTGAATTTCACAGATTGAATTTTGAAAGGGCCCCTAACGAACCGCAAATAACCAATTTGCAAGCAATATCACAAATACTTCACAAAACATGAAAATCATGCAGCTATCCAATTGTATCACAACTGCTCTTCAGGAATTTTCTAGGAGGAGATATTGATGTGAGAGACAATTGTCAGCTGATGGCATTAAAACTATACTAAGAAAGAAATGAGGGTCACTGAACTCCGAGCAAGGCAAAATTTAAAGAAAGAATCTGAGCATTAAATTAACAAAGGCAGTGAGCTG